AGGCCAAATTGAAACAACAAATGCAGATCTCTGAGGCTTTACAATCACAGCAACCGCGCCATACATTGTAAAAGATTAAAGTTGGTGAGAAGGCTCGAAACCAGCTGCTCAGTATCATATTGCAAAGAGACACGCGACAATGAGATTTGTACCATGAAAAAATAGGTGAGAAATAATCTTCGGAAACCTCTCTACTAATTCTGTCTTAAGAGACAAAGGGAACCTAAGTGGTCAATTTCGCGGACCACTAAAACCAGCCTAGTGAGCGCGATGATGGAATTAGGATCTTAGAGCTCTAATTAGTTTTACTGGAGGTCAAAGTCAGTGTCCAACACAGAGCAAATAGGGCTTGCACGGATAGGGTCCAATATTGTAGCTCAGTAGGCGAGTCGCGGTACGCAGCACTAACTAAGTTTATGATAATAGTGGAAACACATAGAATGTTGAAACACTAAACAGGGCAGTGAACAACAATACCCTATACTAGAAGGAATTTCTATGATACTACGTGAAGTAGGAACAGTACTTCACAGCCGCATGTACATCTTCATGTAAAAAACCCTTGGTCCTTTTCGATCCATTTCATAACCTAGATATACATTTTCTGTTTACACTATCCATGCGCATTTATTTGTCTCTATATACTCTACTCAGATATGTCGTTATTCAATAACGCATTTTTCGAACGGAACATGTTGGCAAAGATTCTAATCCATTTAAGGCAACACCAGCACTCCTGGTTGCCTTCCGGCGCTATGATGGATTTGAGTAAGCATACTGAACGCTCGATCGCATTCGTTATGCATCTTTACTCAGTGTGGATCAGCTGGCGAAAATCTCAGCTTCTTTGTCAAAGGATATTGGGATTCCAGCTTTAAGAAAGGGATGTAACGATTTTTTGAATAAAATAAACAACTTGCCGTGATTACTATCATTGGATGCCGGTTGTGGTACTTCGAGATAAGAATCAGGGCCTGAAATAAAACATCGTAATTAGGTTAACACACCAAAATGACTGCTGTAAAAGGCGTCTCTATAGTTGAGGAGCAGAATATCCGGATCTAGATGGAGTGTGTGAAAACTCTCGAAGTGAAATATGGGAGACCAATGTGCGGTAGAAGACAGATAAGCCACACAAGATGAGAATACTTCAAGAACACGTCAGAAATCTTCCATGAGAATTTTCTTATAAGTTGAAGAAAAATGAGAAGAGACCTCAGCAACAATTTATATAGCAAATTCAACCAGATTTCATTGGAGAAATGTAACTTACCTGTACCAAGAAGACCGTGAAGAACGAGAGCCAAACAGTTATCCAGAACAGTTTTCCTCTTTTATTTCTCGCCGTTGGTATTCGTGGGAGTCCATGAGCTGTGGTATTATTCAAGAATCTCCTTACAGCCGCCCATGGCTAAAATATTACTCTAGTGGGCCAAGCATACTCAAGCAATGTTTCGTACCGTTTTTGATTGTGCACCAACATTTCTCGACACCATACTCAAGTGTGTGACTATTCAACTCTAAAACATACGTGGTGTATTTTTTGCTAGAAAGTACGTCCAAATTGACTTTAGTGGTTCGACGCATGTGAAATGCAATATTCTGTATGCAGAGCAAATGTGAAATAAAAAGTCTAAATGTAAATGTTTCACACCATTCTTTTACACTTGAAGTCACTGGCACACTAGAGAAATGAAGCGTAATGAAGTCACAAACTCACTAAGCCACGCAAACGTGGGTCGTAAAGGAAAAGGGAACTAAACGAAATGGGATTACTTCGTTGTGCACGAGATGCATCAACAATAGAGTAAAGGTCTGCAAACGCTGCACTCTCACAAAGACTCAGCAGGTGCCATGCCATTACTTCCCAATTGTCTTTCTAGGTGCGGTAAGTCGCCTTAGGCTTGGTGGTTCAAGTAATTACTAGGCGGTAACAAGAAGGAGACAGCCGCCTATAGAACAACTCGTTAAAGAGATTGCTTCAAAACGCTGGAACATTGGCACGAAGGCATTAGAAGGCGAAATACGCCAAGAAAATGATGGATCATGTTTCCTTTATGCGATGCAGGTAGAGCACGCAGAAAT